CTGAGAACAAAACTCTCATTCCTTCCTGGATTCTCTTTTTGAAAGTGGTTACTATTCTCTTCTTTTTCTAGGCTCATAATCATGGATAATTTTCATCCAAAGGCTATGTTCCTTTTCCATGAACTCCTTCATTTTAGTTCACCTTGCTCCTTATTGTCACTGTGCCATGTGAATTCAGTTGTAACACCTTTACACCTACCTGATGGTTGAACAACTGTAACAGCATCCTAGTCCTTCCACACATCACAGTCCAAATCAAACCCTCCAGGGCTTCTTTGAACACCTTAGATTAAGGATCCAGTTTACTTTGGGATTATGTTCCAAACAGCTTTGGACTGTTTTACTCCCCTTGTCAAATACTTACTTCTGCTTCCCAAATTACAGAGAATTTAGTAGTTTCAAAGCATCCTATTCTCTGAATGTTTCACCTCATTAAATTTTTATTTGAATTCTTTCCTCTAGTCCATTACAATTTCCTGATGGTGTCTATGACTTTCACTTCCCCAACCTTGGCCTTTCTAACATGCTAGCCCCAAAGCAGTATAACATCTTTCACTTTCCTCTTCAACCCCTGCCTTCAGAATGGATCAAATGAATCAATAGGAAACCTTTTCTGGAATCTAAACCACTAACAATTAATGAGCCAATCAACAGTTAATGTGACCATTTTCACATACGCCCTCCTCGTGTCTACACGTGGGTATTTAAGCTTTATCTGTATAAAGGGCTTACTACAAAAAAGATTCAACACAATGCAAGCTACTTGGTTTAAGGGATATTTGACTGCTTAGGGAGCACATGTAATTGGACATCAGAAAAGTAGAGTGACCCAAGTTTCAACCTACTAGTTGTATAGTAACTATTATCTATCTCTTTAGATGTCCATTTTCTCATCTGCCAATGGTGGTGCTAATACTTACCTCTTGAGATTGCAGAGTGGGTTAATGTGAATCTGAAGACCTTATGCTAGGAAATAGTCTTATTTGATACTGTCACTACTAGATTAAAAAATTAGCTTCAGTTTTAGATCACAAGGCAAAACTAGTTTTTGCCTTCTTAATAAGGGACCATAGGGAAAAAATAAGTACCTATTTCTCTTGTAAACCAACTATCAGATACAAGCTTAAGAGTCCCAGGAAGTGGGATCCTTCTCCTCACTTTAAAATATTACAATATGTTAAGGTTTTTCTTCTCATTGAATTAACTAGGTAACATTCAATTATTTCACCTTTGATGTTAATTTTTAAGTGGAAACTTTTTTAATCCCTAAAAATTGAAGTACTTAGTGGTATGTGTGATACCCCTCTCTCTCTCATATACAAGTTATCTTGTTGCCTTCTCACCAATGAAAATCAGAAAGAAATGGTTCAATTTGGGTTAGCTGATATTCACAAGAGAAATTCACACAATCAATACATGGACATGTTCTGATGATAGAAATATTGGCTGCATTCAGAAAGGAAAAAAGATGACCTAGTCTATTTTAACTTTTGACAGAAAATTCCCTTATATGTTGTGAGGGACCTGAGGGTAGAAGATATGTATTTTTGGGGGAAATATCACTAAAATGATGAGACTCCAGAGAGCTTATATGGGAGAATGTGCTACCAAAGAATCTCTTTGTCTTCTGCAAAGGATAACAGCAGAGTATGATGCTAGCCCACAGATGTTTAACAGTTCACAGTTGAGGGTGATAGGTAGTCTCAGAAAATTACCAAATGCCTCTGCTGAGCCAGTTACTGGTAAGATTCCACCTACATATGCGCTACTCAAATATCTTCCTACATACTCAGCCTAAGTGACCTGCCAATATTGGTATCTGTGACAGTTATGAGAATGGCTTTGCTTGCTTAGGATTATGTGTGGGTGTTGATTTGAACACGGTACTTTAAACATAAATTTACAAGGTGCAAACTTTTAATGCAAAGATGACTCATAAGGTTTCAGAATGTGTAAATATGAAGCACAATCTAATTTATACCACCACTGGGGCTGACCCACAGCAAAACTAGCCTGGGTTGATTACCAACTTGTTTGAAGTACCAGGAAACTCACAAAATTTGCCACTTTTAAGTTGAGGAAAATCCTTGGGTTTGTGATGTTTAACCTTGTATGGCATTACCATCATGACCTATTTACACACTGAACTTGCATTTTGCAACATCATGTTTTGATGGCAGCATTCAAAAAACATTATTTCTCTGTGAAGAAAAAAGTCAATTCTTTTAAGAAGGCACAATGGAAAACAAATAAAAAGTAATCATAAAATAAAAAAAAAAAACTAGAAAATTCTGGAACTTAGAATTGTCCTTAGGCTTTTCCCCTTTATATCAATGTAAAATGATGTTCTGTGCAGAATATTTTAAAACACCTTACGAATGAAGGTAAATAAACTAATTAAAGTATATTAAATGTAAAACCAAAATTAAGAGACAATTTCTCACTGAGGTGTCTTAATTTGGGTAGTGTAGTATCACTTGATTTATGTATATATCATATTGTACACCAGAATACTTAGGATTTTTAATCAATTAAATATTTTGAAATTTAAGAACAGGATGGAAAAATGGCAACTAGTTATTCTATATGGATGTTGAAATAAAAAATAAGATTGGTGTTTTGTGATTATTCTGTTTCTCATGCTCCTTGTCTGAAGGTCTTACTCAATTGCTACAGAAATCTCCTTTGGCTGAAGATGAAATGGTACACATCAGACCTTTAACATTATTAGAGCAATGCTGTGGAAGTAAATCACTGAGCTGTCCACAAGGATAACCTGGGAAATTGTGACAAAGAGTCAGACATGGCCAGGAGACTCAGAATTCAACAGAGTATTATTTTAATACTTAAGGATTATGTTACCCCAAAAGGGTGGGAAACAAATGAAATAAATGAACTTAATGAACTGATTTTGTAATGAACCAGTTTGTAATGGAACCAGACATTATTTTATCTGGTTTTTTATTCCATCTGTAAAAATTGTCTTACAAGGCCACTAAAGAAGTAGTTAACATCAAGGTTTTTGAGATTAATTTGTATTTCCAATAACAGTGATAGGATAGTGGATCATTTTATTAACTTTGGAAGCTCAAACATATCATTTATGAAGACTTCACAGATAATAACAAATAAACTTGGATTCCTTGAAACACCGCTTCATGCACAGCTGAAACCACAAGGTGGGTTTTAGTTAAATACAACTATTATATTTGGTCATATCTCTCAATCTGTTACAAACACAAAATGTTTGTTGAATTCTGACATTAGCTATTTACTAAACGAGTTCATTTCCTCAGAGATAGAGCTTCTGGTTTCTTTAGATTAATAACTTCACTGATTTTCTTTTGGAGAGTCAATGCAGTATTAAATTAAGTCACAAATAAAATGGGTGTTAATAATACTTAATACTCAGTTGCCAACTGAGTGGACCATATGCTAGGAAATTCCCCATACTCTTATTAGGTTTTACGCCTTAAGTACTATCAACCATGACCGTAAAGGTACACTAGAGACCTCAAAAAAAAAATCACCAAACCTAAAGTTTTTACCTGAGCTTTTATTAAGGACAAGGGAAATAATAAACAACAAAACAAAGGCAGCCTTAAAATGAAATGTACTATTATTATGACTTTATGTCAAATCTCACTCCTTAACATTAATTGCTTCAGCCCTGGTGGATCTCTTCTTCTACACCTCACTCACTAAATGTGCTTTCTTTTACCTATAAAGTGTCTAGTACCATAACGCCTACACAAGCAGAATGCACCTCGATGGCAGCTCCTTATTCATCCCAATTTTATAACACTAAAATTAGTGTTTTATATGAGTGGTATTAGATCCCACTCAACTAGGTTTTGAGTTGACAAAAAGCAAGACTTATATCTTGTATTTCTTTTGTAGCTGTCATCCCTACTTTGGGATACCCAATACATTGAAGTTCTTCACTAAAGATGAATCTACAAACCTCATCAATTAAAACCTCACTGCAAGGCATTTGGCAGCTCAACACTACAGGTTTATTACTTCAATTTCATATGATTAGCATATGACACTGAGGCCAAATCACATTAGCATTTACAAATATGTAATATATTATAATTATAATCTTAAATTTGAATGTTCCTCCTTTTATTTATTTATTTAATTGGTTAGAAATGGTGGAGAATTTTTAAAATGTCTTTATAAACTTTTCATAATGAGAAGATGATTTTATTTCTCTGACAGACAAGAATCAACTGAGTATCACTTACCAAGTAACTTTTTAGAAATGAAGGGAGCCACAATCACATTTAGTCACAACTAAAGACATAAGCTCCCGTCCTCTGACATCCCACCCATCCCAAATCACCAGGTAAGGGAGTCAGGGCAGGATAATGTCACCCACTATGGAAAGTGCTACACAGGAAGTTCTATGAGCAAAAATGTGTGAGGCACAGAAAATCTTTATTGCCACAAGAAGCAAGTGTACTCATCCCATCTCACCAACAGCTTTAAGAATCACAAAAATGCAGACTTCACACAATAAAGTACAACACAGACTTGGGGGGAAATGGTCCCTTAGACTATATTGGCTGTAATACTGAGGTAACCAAATGACCTTGTTCAATGAAAATACCTCCAACACAATGAAAAAAATCAACTAGTTATAACATCTAATTCATATATACAATTCAAATAAAAAATATATTATTTGCTTTAATGTATAGCAAGTTTATACATTAGTGTTTACAAAATAAAAACTGTATTCTACTGAAAATTTTCTTGTGCTTCCTCCTTAATCACTAAGCTTGAAAAATCAGAAAAGTAAGAGACTTAAGGAAACTTACGTGTGGATCTAAAGATGCAGTTTGTGGGTCCATGAAAGATGGATAAATATTAGTTGAAAGATTACTGCATCTCTAAAAACTGTTGCTTATTAAAATCTACAAACTTGAACTGTAAGACACAATTAAAAAAAAAAAAAGACCACAAATTTCTCAAAATAGATTAGAATACAGGAAACGTTTCATGAAACTACTGAGATACTAACCAGTGCTATGGCTAATATTAAAAACTGAACATTCTATTTAAATCATACTCATACTAGTTCTACAGACAGTGAACAATACAACCACAACAATCAACCTCAAGCTAGCAACAAAGTTGCAAGGTCTGTAAGAAGCTTTTTCAGTGGGCAAAATATTATGGTACAATTAAATCATTAGGAAGGGTAAAAAGCCTTTTAATAGTATAAAAGTTGTTTACTGGTGTTTCTACTGTAAAGCTCTTCTACACATCAAAATGAAAAAGTAATTACATATGTGACAGTGATTAGAGACAACAGTGAAGACATTTCATCTAACATTTGGCTGACAAATTTTAGACTAACAGATTATGACTTAGTATTTATTACACAGTTATGATCTAAAGCAGAACTAAAAACAAAAAGACACAAACTCCATGTCAATATGCTATTCTTGACAATATCTGCATTTAGATGAATTTGTAGGAAGTAGGAAGTGTCAAATATTTTCTCTTTAACCAGCAGAAAAAAGGTACATTGGACTTTTTTTAACCAATGTGAAATTCTCTTAAGTATGTCAGTACATTAACATTTTCCTACACACCATATATATGTATGTATGTGTCAATTAATTAAATAGGGAGAATTAAAAACATACTTTCAAATTAAAATGAATTTTACAAAAAAACCCTGCATTTGAAAATCTGAAAGGTGTAAGAAATGAAATTGTAGAATAAATAATCGGTATAGCTGTCAACTAAACTTCATAGGAATCTCCTTGCAAATGTGGGTGCAACACTTATCCACACTTGTGATGGCTGGGTGGGAAGACATTCCCCAGTGAGAGCCATCCCAGTCTCTCTGACTCCTGTACATGGAGAAAAATTTCTAGATATAAAACATACTTAATCTATTATAGCCTTTGTTAAGTCACCATCTTTATCACATTTATGGTTAACTATGTCAGTTAATCAATTTAACACATTCTGAAGTATCAAGGCTTTTACACATTAGTTAACGTGTTTCAAGTTCTCTGTCCACATAACAGCTTCCTACCTTTGTTACATTATAAGTAGCTCTCATACAGTACAATCGTTGGTATCTAGGTAAGAGATATTTTCTATTCTACTTCTCATCCTTTTCGCTTTCTCCAATATTTATTAATTATGCACTGATTAAAAGAGTGAAAATGACAGTATTCAATGAATGCTACACATTACCTGTTAATCAGTTTTATCAAGTGTTAAATACAGAATATTTTCCTTGGCTTAAATTGAGTATTTGCTTTCCAATTTTCTATAGTCATTGCAACCTTACCAATAATATCACTCAAGCTTTCTTTTTTATGAATGCAAAGATTATAAAATCAAACATATAGTAATATTTATGCTACATACACACAGACAACAAAATTTCAAGTAAAATAAACTATATCAACATCTATTAGAACAGGTCTCAACATCTAGATTTTACTTCTATAAATTACACACATACATTGTACATTCTTAAATAATGAGTGCTTACGATATTAACTTGTAAGCCTTTTCCACATAAAACAACTTACACAGGAATGTGAATAGATCAGTATTTGTTACAGATTGTAGCGCTCTCTTGATTTTTCTTTTTTGTGGCTATTGTTTTGTCTTCCTGGTTTTCACAGACTACTGTATGAGTCCTTATGCTTTGGCTATGAAATTTGTTTGAGCTGAATGAGGCAACATTGGTTATTAAGGCTTAAGTCTATGATGGAGCATTATCCTTAAATCTGATGCCATTTCAGAGAACAGTGGGAGGGGAATCACAGCTATCTTGAATCTTCAGGTTCTGTTTTGATGACTTTCTTTTCAAACGTAAAAGCAGAATGAGGGTAGTCTTTTAAAATCCCAAGGCTCTCTGAATAAATGAAAACAAAGTTTATTATTTTAAATATACTGAAAAAAAATCAAAGTTATAAAACAAACTCCCAAACTTCATAGCAAATAGTATCAACTACTTCTAATTCTATAATTCCACATAAAACTTTATTTAGTTGTAGTTAAAAGTGCGGATTCTGAATTTAAATTCAAGCAAGGTCAATTACTAGTGTCTTCATCTATAAAATGAGGATAGTACCTACATAAAGTGGCATAAGAGTTAAATCAAAAAGTATACATAAAACATCAAGCATATAGAACATACCATGTTTTTAAATGTTTAGTCCATTATGATAAACATATAAAATAAAACTGACCATTTATATATTACTGCCATTGATTAAAATATATACTATCAAAGAAGTGAGAAAAAAAATCTTCAAAGTTTAAACATAAAACTATTTCTAAAGGTTCCTCTAGCTATGACACACTAAGGTAGGGAAAACAGGGATAAAAGAATGAAAAGTTAATTTTCATAAGAAATAATTCCATGGAGTTATATAAATACTACTGACCAATAAAATATAATCTTTATATAGTAATGTACTAATATTGGGAGATACATATAAACATACGGATGCAAATGTATAGGCTAACATACATGCAATGTTGAAAGGATTCTAGAAAGGAAAGCAATACTAATTGCTTACCTGAAATTAGGTAGCTCAACTTATAAATCCACTTTCTCCACAAAGAAAGGGATTTTTAAATTGTACATAAGCATAATTACAAATAGTATCTACTATTTATTGAATTCTGGTAACCATACAATTCATATACAGTCCTTTAAAAAATATTTCTATTTTCTAGATGAATCAATTGAGGGACAAGGTAATTAACTTTGTTAGGGATACTCAATTAAGTATCAGTGCTGAGATCTGGACCAAGTTATTATTTCTACCAAATTAAAAAAAAAAAAAAAGGAAAAGGACTTTTAGACATTCCTTTGTTCTGTTTCACATAAAAACCTAATTCAACTGCATCTCCTATGTAACAGAGACACAAAGTGTTACTCTATGGTGAGACACATATGATCAATATAATTGGAGTATTTCAAGGGAATATAAACTGTTATGTTTTAAGAACTTTAAAGAATTGGTCACTTTTTCATGTTGTAGAAAACAGGAGACCAACATGTTGTTATTTTAGGATAATTTCCAGTTCATAACCTCTCTGACAATCTTAAAGCAGGCAGAATCAAGTATGAAAGAGCAGAATAACACAGCACAGACTATTATTTAGGACTCCAGCCTTCTTAGAATCTGCTACTAAGGAGCACGAACTGAAAATTAGAGAGATTCTTGACAACTTTTTTCCTAATGAATACGTAACTCACTCTACCAGATGTAAAGTCTGGTTTAATTCTATTGCTTATAAAACTACTTTTCCCACTGACTTAAAATACAAGTTTAGATGATTACTTTATTTGGCCTCAGTTTCCTTACCTATAAAATCAGTGACTTTGATTTAGTGTCTCCTAAAGTTACTTCAACTCAAAGATGGAATGGTACTAGATTCTTTAGAATGGTTCTGATCTCTATCACTTCAACTTTGTCTAACTCACTTTACTTGAGTAAAAATAAGTGAACACCTAATGAGGAACTGCTTATTTTTTCATGGGGTTGTTTATTTCTCAAAAATAAATATGATACCCAAAATGCATCTACATGAAAAGTTTAGATTCACGTACACAAGACTTTCTTAGCATGAAAACAAACACACAGCCCATTAATTTTATATTATGTTATTGCTAGAAAAGGGCAAACCAGCCAAACTTGAATCAGCCATTTATTATTCAATTTACACTTTTATATAAAAGTCACTATTTGTGTACAGGTAATCAAAGCAGTCTCAACCTTCACGAATTTTACCGATCATTCTTTGGAATACTATGTTTTCAAAAAGAATAGCTAATTATCATGGTAATCTGTAATTTCTAAAGCAGAAAAACTAACTAGTAACATTGTACATAATGATATTGCAGGGTGGAAGAGCAGCAGGAGTAGGAGAAGAGATTTAAAGATGTGTTATCCAAGTTTTACTCTCCAATCATGTACTACATTCTTACCTGACGAGTGGGACTTCGCCTCACTGGAGTAAAGTCTACTCAGCTCCCCATCCACCACAAAATGATGGGGTTGTCTGTTCTGTAAATTGGGCATTCGGAGATTCAAAGGTCTTTCTCCTATTGAGAAGAAAAAAATATGAATAATATTTAAAACACACCATAGTATTTCTTTAAAGTAACTTTTCATAAAATTGCCTGGAAAGATTGAAGAATGTTAATAGGCACTGAACAAATAAATGGAATAATGGGAGAAAAAAACATTAACTAATTTAGGAGGAAAATGGCAAGTCATTTCATGCTAGTCCCAAGGTACACAATTCTGTTAGGATATTTTAAGAGTTAAACATGAACTAAACAAAAGACTGAGAATTCCAGTAAACATTCCAACTGTGGAATGCAATACCTCTCATATTACACCAGTAAGGCATTGTCTTCCGAGTACAACCATTTTACCAAGGCATGTCATTACTTATAACAACAAAGACTAGAGAGACAGAGATGGCTTCAAGTCAATTACAGATTACCCACCCCTCGAAAAAAACTATGAAAAAAAACATGATCAGTACAGACACAGTAAAAAAACACTTTATGCATTAAATTATATTGTCTGTTATAAATGTAAATCTGTGACATTAGCAAACTGCTACCCCACAGTAAGTTATCCTCGTGTAACAAATCAGTCATTAAATCTTTCATAATTGCCTTTGTTTCTTAACTGTTAAATATTAATTATTAAGAACTGGAGAAGTTAAAAGACTAAAAAGTTAAAAACCAGAAACTTCATATTTTAAAAAGGAAGAACTTTTTTCTCCTCCAATATTGTGATCTGCTGACAAAGGTAATATTTCATTCCATGGTTGGAAAATGTTTAAGATTGTATTCTTACTTGGGAAGAAGTCTATTTTTTGACAATAGCATAACTACTCTATACAAAAGTGTAAAAAGTGTATAGAAAAGTATAAAAATAATACATAAAAAGAAAACACTACCAGATTATTGTTTTTGTCAAATACTTATTACTAAGTAAAACTAGATGATTTATTTATATATTTCTTGTGTCCCTTCACTAGTGTGTAAGCTCCATGTGAGCAGGGGCTTATTCACAAAGAATTGTACTCTTTCGTAACACTTTAGAAGCAACTATCATATTCTTAAGAAATAAATGTTACAAATTTCAGACAAATCTATTTTTGAAGTCTAAAGAAACATGAAGTTAGCCTAGCTTGCAAAAACTTCTGAGTTTAATTCCCATCACAAGAAAAAATAGAGAAGTAACTCCAATGAAAAAATCTGTAGCATTCACATCTCCCTTTCTTACCAACCCTTTTCAAAATACACGTTAAGCACATGTGTCAACACTGACTCATGTATAGGAATAATAAAGCTTATTTTTATAAATTCAAATATGCAGGATGAATTTATTCCTTCTGAAAAGGAATAAAATTAATTTTCATAGGGAATTTATAAAATAATCTCTATAAAACATCCATATTTAAAAATCCTCATTTTTTTCAGTTTCTCTTTAAAAAGTGACGGTAGCAGCTCCAAAGGCAAAGATCATTCTGAGGACGTACCTTGTCCCTCTGAGCTATCAGAAGGGAGGCCATTGGGGCTGTGCTCTTCTGAGCTTTGCCTGTAAAGCCCTGCAGACAGTCTTCTCTCATGCTGCAGTCTCTCATAGCCAGCTTGGGCGCAGAGGAACTCCATCTGCTTTGCCATCACCTTTTCAGGCTGCTAGTAAGTAAATCAAAAATAAAATCAGTATTGAAAACATCCTAGATTTTTTTAATGGTTTAAAGATGCCAATTTCAGACTCCAGCATTTAAATATATTTAGTGTTCATTAAAATTAGTTCACACTTCATGTGGTATACTTGGTTCTATGAATATGAATAAATGTTTGCAGCATGTTAAATCACAAAATGCTAGATTATGTATAAAAGAAAAAAGGTTTCTTCTCAATCCTAGAAAAAGAATTCCATCCTGGCTCAAAAGCAGCATAACCCCAGCTTTGTTTTCCAAGGTATTAAGTCCCTTTAAGTGATTTTTTAAAAAGGAACCTAAAAGCAACAGCAACATCTGCTATCATCCACTTCTAACACACAGGGTGAAATCTTGGCATTTTTATTTTAGGATCTGGCACTACACAGACTCTGAAATGATGACAGTATGTTTGGAGGAGAAAAGGTGTAAAACGGCTGTCTAGAGGAACAAGACAAACACACCTCCCACTAAACTAAACAATGCAAATTATGCAGAAAAGCATCAGTGCCAGTGAGGATCATTACCTTCATCACAGAATGCAACTGCAATAGTTCCCAACCAATCATAGAACGTAGTTTAAAATATAAAATTAGTAAAGCTGACAAATTTATCTCTGCATGTGTTTTAAATTCCTTTTCTATATACTTCACCAAATTACTTATATATGGTATATTCAAAGCAGCATACCTATGAAATTTTGCCAAGGAGGTAACAGTCAAACTGCACAGATATGAATCACTACTGCTTATATAAAAAAGGTGCTATATAAAATTGATTAGAAAAAGCCATGATTCACAATATAAAAAATCAATAGGAGGACTCATTAACTCATTGAATAAATAGAAGTGCTCATACTATATTTCTAAATGGACATAAGCTAGACCAAAAGTAACCACGACTTCATTCATTTGAACTTTTTACTAACTGGTAACATTTCAATAAGCATTTCTAAGGGGAAAAACGTATTTTCATCCTCTTAACATGCAAAAAAAATTACTGGGCAGGTACAAAACTGGAATAAAAGCAAGTCACTATTGGGAAGCTCAATAAGAATAAAACTTGCAGTGTTTTCTAAAAGATGTTTGCAGAAGGCACTTTTCATTATTATTATTTTGGTGGTACTGGGGTTTGTACTCAAAGCCTCAAGCTTGCTAAGCAAGTGCTCTACCACTTCCACTTGAGTCACGTCCCTAGCCCTTTTTATTTTTAGGTATTTTTGAGATGACAGGGTCTCACATTTTTGCCTGGGCCATCCCTGAACCATGATCTTCCAGATCTTTGCCTCCTGAGTAGCTGGGATTATGGGTGTGAACCACTGTGCCCAGCAGCAAAGGATTTTTTTAAATGTTTATTTCTCTGAACATACATAATTAAGTAATAGAAAAATTACCTCAAGATATGCATTATTTTAACTATTTTTCAGTATGTATGAGTTAATTACAACATTATTAATATTTTATTGAAAACCAGTGCTACTTTATTTCAGAGTTATATTATACAGTCATGGTCAACATGGCTGTCTTCCTGATATGAAATTGCTTCTTTTGAATTTTCTTGAATAGAGAATCTGCCTCACTTCCTACAAAACTACAAGAATAAATAAATAGCACCATATCAGACTCTGTTCATGAACCAAATCAAATCAAGTTGTTACTGCTATCTTGTTGATACAGCTGTGGATCGGACATTTTAAAAACAACCAGAAATAAATTTAGTTCTCAAAAAACTAAAACTGAGCCTTAATGAAGCAGCCATTTATTTTTTAACCTACAGATATTATTATAAGATAATAACTAGAAACTTCTGTTACCTGTGAACTAAGAGCTACAAGTTCTTCACTTTTAGCTCTGGCCTGCTGGAAGAGTGTTTGCACAGAATCCTGGAAATCTGGAAAAGCATCCTGTGAGTCAAAGAGTAAGTCTTTATTATTAAGAGTTTAAAAAATAAATAACTGTGCTATTGAAACTCAGAAAACTACCTTAATCCCACTACCCAAATAAATAGTTAAGATTTTAATGTACAATATGTCATTTCAGTCTTTTATGGTACAAATACCTTTTCTACAGCTCTAACTTCAGTAAACACATAAATGAAAAAGAAAAATGTAATTGTCCCCATTGTTTTACATAGGCAAGCAAACTTTATGATCACTGATGAATGGTTACATTAACAGTTCAACTAGTAGTTTACCTGACCACTATCCTCATATTGGACATTTTCTATTCTTTTCCTAACTTCTAGTTTTGTTTTGTTTTTGCATTTATTCACATGTGCATACATTATTTGGGTCATTTCTCCACCTTGCCCCCCCCCCCTCACCCTTCTCCCCCTCCCTCCTCAGTTCCAGGTAGGTCCTGCTCTGCCCTTATCACTAACTTTGCCTAACTTCTAGTTTTAAGAAAAAAATACTACAGAAAATATTTTCACAAAATAGCATTTTCCATAGTTTAGATTATCAATTACAAAAAAATTCCAAGAAGAATTACTACAAAAGGATGCGATTTTTTTATGTCTTCTAATACAATACACTAAAGGGCCTCTACTAGTTTACTATACCATAAGCAATACATGAAAGTTTCCTTGCCAGCACTGGGTACTGTTTTTTGTTTTTTAATTTTTGCCTATTTATTTTTGTTATGATACTCAGAACAATTTTACATACCATGGTTGTATAAACTTGTACCTTATTTTGTGATTTCTTCTATTGCTATAAAGTTTCAAAGGTAGTGTGCTTTAGAAATTTATAAGTACCCAAATCTTTTATAAGGCTTTGTTTTTTTAATGCAACTCACTAATCCACCTAAGATTTATCTTGTAATGTGATAAACATTCAAACTAAAAAAAATTTTTTAAGTGGTATCCCACAGTCCTAATCTAAATTTACCAAGAATTTATTCATGTTGGCTTGTGATATCTCCTTTAACACATCCTATGACAGGCAAATAGGCCTTTCAAATTAGGAAGACCTGTAGCTGTATTTTAGTTCTACCACTTACTAGCTTTGTGACACCTCTGGGCAGCTTAATGTTCTTGAATGTCACTTTCCTCATTTAAAAAATTGAGAGTAAGAGAACCTATCTATTAGAGCTGCTTTGAGGACCAAATGAGATAAAGCAGGTTGAGATTATGCTTTTAGTATGTAATAATCACTACATAAGAATAGCAATGCACACTAAATTCTTATGAAATAGGTCCTATTTGGGGCACTCTTCCCAAGCAAGACTTTAACTTAAATTATATTTGTTTTATACTTCCTATGTATTTGGGATAATCCACTATTATTTCTTTCAAGTTTCCTTTCATTGCCTGTTTATTGTTCCACATGAACTTTAAAACTATAAACCATCATGATGATTTTAGAAACCTGAAGAAAAACAACTAAAGGACTCTTCACAGAACCTGTCATTAACAAAATATGCATTTCCCCTGTCTGATAAGCTATTATCATTATAACAAAGAGTGAATCATTTAAAAACCAAAGTTCTTATAAGAACATAGCAGAAAAAAGTAATAATGTAATGATAGCAAAATATTTTACCTTCTTTGGTGTATAAGATATTGGTTTAAAACATTTTCCTCCATCAGGGTCTTTTCAAAAAATTCTATCTCCACTGCAGACCCATGTTTTCAAATATTTCATTCACCAAAATTAATTTCCTAAGTAATAACCGATTTTCTATTTTTAAAATTCAAATATATAATATAATTGAGTTAAAAGCAAGTTAGCTTGACATATTAAGGTAGCCTTAATAGCTTTATACACAGTCAGCACTTCTAAAGTACTGAAGACAGGCACCCTTCTAGATCCCTACATTGGCTCATGAATGTATAGAACATAATCACTGGGTGAGCTAGAACAAACTTTATGTAAGTGTATACAGCTCAGGTGAAATTAAAAATATACTTTTTCTTACCTATTCCATTTTTCTTCTAAGAATTTATTTACTCCTAAAAATACAACTTACTCTTTCTCAAGTCCTCCTTTAAGTTCTAAAGTTCAGTGAAGTAAGTTAGTTGAATACTTGGAACAAAAACATAAATATAAGGGCACCAATCAATTTTTTAGGAGTCTATTTTAGGAGTACCAATTTCCACATCACATATTTTAATCTTCTCACAATATGTATTTAATCTTCCCCCTTATATTGATCTTTCAACAAACAATCCCAGGTTTCCCTCATTTTACAGCACAGACACTGGCTTCTAAGCTTATGCTCAATCCCTAAAACTCACAACAATAAACACAACAAGCATTTCTCTTATAGTTGTTTCTTATAAAACTGACTTTAACTCATGACTTGCACAGAGTCTGAAATTCAATTATACTACTTGTTTCTGTGTTATTTCATCTCTGTGCCTGTTTTCTCATCTGTAAGATGGACATTATAGAACCTAGCTAACTTATAGAATCATTTTTAGAGAAGTAAAAACATTCATGACAAACAGCACAGTGCTTGACATATAGAAATTCCCAAAAATGTTGGCTACTAATGTTATTAGGTTCATCCAAAAAGCCACCAAATTAAATCAAAGTAAAGCAAATAGCATGCTATTCATGACTTACTATCTTTTTATTACACTGAGGGGAAAAGGTTACATTTTAGGGATATTTACATAGTCTCAATATCTTAAATGAGAATCTAGACATTTAAAACTAAAATCAACAAGAAAATATGGAGTATAGTTGTAGGGAAATGTTAGTGAAAAAACACACCAGAAATCTAGAAGCATGTTTATTCAATTCAATAAAAATGTCATCTAACCAGTTCAAACACAATACAGATATGGGAATACACTGGCAAATAAGAGGCATAACTTCTTCCTTCTTCACAAATACAGTCTAGAAAGGGAAATGGACAGAGATCCAGAGCCCAGCCAAGGCACTGTGGCAGAAGAAGCTCTCCAGAGGGTATGATATTTAAGTTGAGGCTTAAAGGAAAATAGTTCTCTAGGAAAAGACAGCAGATTATATAAAGGCCCAGGGCAAAAAGAACAAGACATCCAGAAGCTGGAACACATCTAATGTAGTTACACTAAGAAAGAAGGAGTAGTGAGAGAAGTTGGAAATGGAGGGACAGATTTTGTGAGGCCTTAAAAACTACCTTAAATGCAAAGAAAAGCCACTGACATTCTTAGAAGAGACTGGCCAGATATGAATTTTAAATTGTAATTTAAAATTAAATCTGAATGCAATGGGGTCAAGGATGGTGGTCGAGAGACTAGTTAGAGCGAAGTAGTGAAGAGAACGGTGACTTAGTCCTGGACAGTGGCATATGTAACAGAGAAACAAAAAATTCCTGGGATTAGGTAAATGGAAGTTTGACAATAATATTCACTACAAAAGTTTTGGGGAGGGGCAGGAAAATTAATGAGTTCCACTGGGGACATGCTGAGGCTAAAGGCTGGTGAGATTTCCCTATACATATAGTACACAAACCAGGGACGGAGTTTGGAGCTTGGGGCAAAATCAGGACTGGAAACTAAGACTGGAGTGTAACCAGCTCATCAGCAGGCTCTTAGTAGAGTGCACTCAACTAGACTCCCTAGACACCCCAATATCTCAACACTATTTTGAAAAGTCTTGCAAAAGGAGAAAGGAGTTAGCTAGTCTTCTTATGTTAGGAACCTGATGTGTGGTCCCAGTAAAGAAAGTTAACCTCATTATTTCCAGTGTTCCCAATTTTTTAATGGAGATTATACCATCTGCTTTATCTGCTCAGTGGAGATTCCTGAGGATTATATGAAGTAATGCAAGTGGCAAATCTTGTCAAGTACATAATGCCACCATTGTCAGGATTATTACAACCATGAAAAGCTGAATGGAACCTCAAACTCTGCATATGAAAGTTTTTGGAAAATGGATACTGCTCCATCATTAATAAAGAGAAATAAGAGCCTGAAATAAGTAATAAATAATAGTACCCACGTAATCAGTGATCTGTTTGCAACTGAGTACATTAGCCATACTGATTTTTCTCCCACAGTCTTTAGTTTATCGTGAATAGGAGAACTATAGGACTAAGTAGCGATCACTGCATGAGATATAAAATGGGTTTAGCTATTCAAAATATATGACTTAGAAATCAAAGTGAGAACATTCTCATGAAACTGGTCTCTTTCACATTATATTTAGCACAGGAATTTTGTTTTATGTCAATAAGAAGCTTTTTTCTCAGGTACCAGCTTTGGCATGCTATGAGCAATTTATCTACATGTCATATTCTTGGCTGCTGCTATTAATCACAGTGTTCCCTTGCTGATGAGACTCTGGGTCTGAGCGCTGAGATGAAAGATACAGGACTGAATGCTGTTCATGACCTAATTACTCTCACCCTATTGGTCACCACTGTCATTCCTCATCATTTCTACCAGACACAGCAAGCTCTCAAAGTCCCTGCTTAGCTGTCTTTAAATGACTCGTCACAGCAGATGTTCTCAACCCCACATGTGCATTTCCTTTTTTCTACTCACATTTTCTGTATGAATAGCAGATTGTAATGCTTCTGTTTTTCTAATCCAGAGGGGGCAGAGCCTACATCAAACTAGACCCGCTTTCTTTTCAACAAGCTTAGTTACTGCGTAGGTGGAGATTCTGACCCTCTTCCCTCCTCCTTCCTCATAGTTCTACCCCCACCCTGCTAGACCTGCTACCAGATGTTTCCTCTAAGTCTTCTTCAAACCCAGATCTCTGACTTTCTGGGCTCTATTAACAAATTTCATTTATTTCATCCAGTTGTCTCTAACTGCTTTGCCTAGCTCTGCCACTGAGCAGCAATGTGGCAACCTAGGCAAGTTACTGGGCCTTTCTGGGTCTGCCTTGGCTGTAAAGTGGAAATCATAAAGCCTTCTATAGGGTAGGCAAGAACATCTGTGATAAAGAATTCTAAATGCCTAGCAGGGGCTCACACACAAGAGCATTAATAAAAAGTTCTAAGTTTTACAATTGTCCTATACCTAGATTTGGGTCCCTGAGGAAAACGAAGAGCAAAAACACACAAAACTCATTTTCTGTTTAGCTCATCTGGACTTATAGCAGCTCTCATCTAGTCCCACAGTGTTCTCAAGGCTTACTTACTAACTCACAGGGCTAAAGAGGTGCTTTCGCTAGCAGTCCCCTCCAAGTGGTAGTTTCCCTAAGACCTATCTAAGCTGGCAGGCATTTTCTCTGTGGCAATCTCATTTACTCTGGGAATTAAAGAAATAAAGTTCAAAATCTGGTTTTTAATGTAAAGAGGAGCACTATGTAAGGATAACAGATTATCCTGAGTACTTCTATACAATGTATATATTGATATTTTAAAAAATTAAAAAGTAGCTAACTATCCTTAGGAGAGAACAAGCTTCTATGTGGGTAAGTGCTTTCCACAGAGAAAAATCAGACAAGTATTTTAAAACTCTATTCCATCCAACTCTTCATGTACAGATTAGGGAAATACAGCATTTAGCAAGAAAAGATCTTATTGAACTTGAATAAAGCACTACTTTTACCAACTAGTACACCCTAATGCAGTAATAAGTGCAGACAAGAAAATGTTTCTCTTTCCCATACATGCAAATTATTTTATGTCATTTCTACCCTGTCTACTTATCATTACATTTCTTTTTGTTCTTTGTGAAAATTACCTTTCTTTTAAGATGGAAAAAAGTGACCAACTTGGCATGTGTGCTCTATTGGTTAAGTCTTGAAGGAGTAGAAACCCTTTACATTCAACTAACTACTTCAATAACAGCTTCCAGAACCAAATGAATACTTCTATTATCTCAAATTTGACATACAGTATATCACAACAGAATTTAGCCCAGAATTTATACCAAGACTATATACGTTACAAAAAATTATACTTATGTGGCCTACACACAAACACAAGACACCACACCCTTTGAAAAGATGCTGGTGACTTGCAATACATAAGTGCTTTTTAAAAAATTAAGCAAAAACAAAACAAAATTAAAAACAAACCCAAGGCCCTAGATTAAAAACCCAGTACCACCCCACTCCCACCCCCGCCAAAAAGAACCTAACAACAAAAAGCATATCATTGTGCTAAATTTTCTATTTATTTCTGGAAAACAAAATTAAAAGTCCACAGTATATACAAGTATTAAATAAGTTTGAGTTGATTAGTCACTTGTCTTATTTAGGAAGGGATAGAACTCTTATTCACTGAAAAAGAGAAACATTAATTATTTTAATTCCAAATCCAGAACTGTTGATGGGGTTTTGTGAACTCTAGAAAAACAATCAACCATGTAGAACTATACAATTAAATGGTCTCTAGTGTTATGTATTTCAAAGGAACAGAAAGGTCATATCTAATGTTACAACCCAACACCTGGGATTCTTATACAAACTCAAAAACACTGTAACTGAATAAAACAAACAATTTGCTTAAATTTCAGGTTAGGGCCATCGACAGAGTTCAGAAAGACTTACTACAGCCAAACAAGACACAATGGCAGCTCAAAACTGTCTATGACCACAAGTTTCAATGTTCAGTAGTGATCTCTGAAGCTAGAAAGAAGGAAAAGTTGGGCTTAAATATGACAGTAGCCTGAACCATGATGACATTGAGGACCAACAATGAAAAACAGACATGGATGTGTTTCTAGCCTAGCAGGTGACCATGCTTCATGGCCACTGGGGAGGATTTGTACCTTCTTTCCTTTAAATCCTCCAGTGGCACGAACCCTAGCAGTTTCTGTGTTCACCTATCTTCCCTTTCAGCAGCAGCAAGTCACTAACAACTAAATCCACAGGGCTCTTCTCTTGCCCATTATCTTGGGGTACAGTATGATAGAACGGTTTTCACTAGTTAGACTAACTTTCAACGTAGCCTTACAGACAATTTCAACAAATTTTCTGAATAGTAGCTGAGGCTAGCCCATCTTAAACATTATTCCAGAGCTAACAGTGAGGTGGATGACAAATACAAGTACAGTTTTGTTGTTTTTTGGCAATAATAGGGCTTGAACTCAGGGACATATACTTGCTTAGGCAGGTGCTCTACCATTTTGAGTCATGCCCCTAGCCTTTTTGTCTTTACTTATTTTTTGGACAGGGTCTCAAGTTTTTGTCTGGGACTGGCCTAGATTGCAATCCTCCTACCTATCCCTCCCTCAGAGCTGGAATTATAGGCATGCACCACCAGCCCAGCTTATTTGGAGTGATGGGATCTTGAACCACAGGGCTGGCCTTGAACCACAATCCTCCCAATCTCCTCCTACTGAATAACTGGGATTACAACCACTGAAGCAAGTCTACAATCTTTTAAAGATGTGATTTTTTTCTTTTCTTCTCTGAAAAGTATTATTTTAGGATAAAAGTTTTAGAAGTCAAAGACATCTATCAACAACCATTATTTCATCCAACAGATTTTATTAAATGCATACTTAGTGCAAGGCACTGTTATAAACTCTAGAGTATACTGTATGTGGATACACAGATAAGAAGCCTGACTCTAATGATGCAAACTGATAAGTAAAACATTTAATAGCACCAGATAGTGGTAAATGCTATGAAAGAAAACAAATAAAACAAGCCAGAAGAACAGTCTGAGTATGATTTGGGAGTGAGAAAGCCCCTTCAGAAAAAAAAGCCAGGGAAATTCAGCTGTGGCCTACAGTCACTGAGAGAAAACTGTTCTAGGTAGAGGAATGAATGTTGAGTACTGAGGCACAAATGAGTTTGGCTGGTTCTAGGAACAGAATGTTGTTCAAGGTAGCTAGAACACAGTGGGAATGCGAAGTGGCAGTAGCAAAGGGTGCAGCAGGGTCTTAGATGCCTCAGGAAAAGTTTAGATTTCCTTCCAGGGACGGGAGAAAGCAACTGGAAAGATTTAAGCAAAAAAGGGATTTGTGTTTTTACAAGATAATTCTGGTTTTAGTATGAATAAAGGATTATTGTTACACAAATAGATATTAATAGGTACTTAGTAAATGTAATATGATGATGGAAATATAGGATAGTCAAGAATAACTTATTTGCTATAACTTAAAATTAAATAACAGAATGGCTAAGAGAGTACTAAACCCCATCCCCAACCAAGAGAAAAAGGAAGAAAGGAACACCTAACTTCAAATTTCCACTCTGTAGACTACTTTTTAGAAAAGTATTCAATCCAAATTAAAGAACAGTAGTTCTGAAACCATTCTATATTTTTGAGAGCCCTAAGAAAAGTACGTATTTCTTGCTCAACTTCTACTTTACCACTTGCAAGTCTAACATCAGAAGAACAGTCTCAATCATGGTCCTCTAAAAAAAAGATTTTAATTATAGTAAAGATTCCATAAATTACAGCTACTAAATTGTCATTGCTGTCAGATAATATGAAGAAACTAAAAATTTGCTCCTTTGAAATGTATTTGATAACTCATGATATAAGACTATAAAAAATTGTTTAACCAGCAAAGAGTTTTAAATCTATAAGAAACACTAATGTACAAGTCAATCTTCATAAACTGGTACCAATCTAGTCAATGTAATTTCCCTTTAAGAATTTTCTTGTTTGCTAGTTCAAATTAGTTCAGATACTTGAGGGTTAGAAAATTCTGTTGTCTTTAAGATTCTACAATTCATTTTCTACTAGTTTACAGGACCATTCTTTTTGTATGAACTAATAAGATTTTACTCCACTTTTAAGGATCACAAAATAGAAGCAAACATTATCAACATAAGAAAATATTACACATAACCATACCTCCACTTTAATTCTCTTTGGAGATAATTCATCTCTTTCACCACATTTTGACCTAAAAAGAAAAGGAGAAAGAAAAACTTGAGAAGGTAACATTTCATTCCTAAGGCATCTCAGTCTAAAACCTTCCCCCAAAATATATAACCCTAAAGCCCCTAACATGAAACATAACATACTATTCTGAACATTAAAATAACAAAAAAGATTTTTCATTATTTTCAACTAACATGAGGGGAATATGTAGACACCATTTTACATTTTAAGACCACTAACATAAGAACTCCCACAGAGAAAACACTCAATATATAGTTCATGATTATTGTATAACAAAAAAGAAAAATATCAAAGATGATATCCTTTTATCATCCAGCAGGAACAACTTAAGATAAAATGACAAAAATGGTCATTTAAAATAAATGCTTAAGGTTACATGATAATAAATTGCATTTTGTCTATTAACATTACAGACATACTTGCCCTTGACTCAGAGTCTGTCCACGGGGAATCTATCCCAGCAGTACCAACACACATATAAAATGGCACTCCATCTTACGTACTTAGATACGTAACTATTTAACATGTCATTCTGAAGTATCACTGCCAACGAAACTACAACACGTCAACTCTAAGTTATTCATCAATATAAAAGATGTTAAAATGTTAAAAAGTACATCTTGGAGTCAAGAAAATAAGGTACATGTGATGTTACTTATTATGGCATTATTTCCAATAACAAAAGACTAAAAACTCAAGCATCCATATTTAGAATTATAACAATTGAGTCATGGTCTTTTTACATATTCAATATTCAGCTAATCTCAGATTGCAAACACTTTGCCAAAGGAACCATTTTGTCTCCTCAGAGACTTCAACAAGTTCATGCAGTTAGCGAATGTATAAATATATCTCTAATGGCCATCTAAATCCCATCATCACACGCAAAAGCAAAGTGTGCGTAACAGAAGAGTATCTAAACCATCAGAACGATATTGTACTAGGAAACTGTTTTCCAAAAGAGAGGAAGACAGGAGAATTGAACAAAACAATGAAAATCACTTTGTTAGGAGTAACAAATTCTAATGTGCTATTGAGCAGTATGGCAACTATGGATAATAATTATATATTGTATATTTCAAAAACATAGAGAAAGAATTCTGAATGTTTCTGCCATAAAGAAATGATAAATGTCAGATGCCAGTGGCTCATGGCTATAATCCCAGCTACTCAAGAGGCAAAGATCAGTAGGATTGTAGTTTGAAATCAGCCCCAAGCAAATAATTCACGTGACCCAATCTCAAAAAAACCCATCACAGAAAAAGGGCTGGTGGAGTGGCTCAAACAGTAATGGTGCCTGCCTAGCAAGCATGAAGACCTGAGTTCAAGCCCCATGCTATAAAAAAAATAAATAAATAAATGACAAATGTTTAAGGAGATAGTTGACAGTTTAACCTTAAATGTTAAACTATTTAATACATAAACAAGGTTGAACATTTAACCTTAGTTAACCTTATTTAAGCACAGACAATGTACACATGTGTTGAAATTATTACATGGTACCCTGTTAATATGCACAATTTTTATGGTTTTATGTGCCAGTTAAAAATTAACAATAAAAAGTTGCTTTTAAACAATAATGCTTTTTTGTAGCCAAAATTTTTTATTTATTTATTTTTATTATTGTTGTGTTGGAGGAGCACTGTGACATTTACAAAAGTTCTTACAATATATTATAGTTGAATTTACCCTCTCCATCATTCTCCTTTATTCCCCTTTCCCCCAGTCCGGTAATAGTTTCAACAGGTCTCATTTTTTTCATTTACATACATGTGTACACGATTTTGGCACCATATTCACCCTTCTCAACCCTAGTCCCACATCCTCCCCGCTCCCCACTGGTAACAACTCCTCAGGCATGACCTGTTCTGCCCTCCTGTTCTCCGATTTTGTAAAAAATAAAATGACATTTTTGTTTGTTTAAGATACCTATATGAGAATTCTGTGCAATATCTTCATGTACGCATGTATTAGCAACTGCATTATTTAATTTTATAGAACCAACCTCACATGTATGACTTTTCAAAAATGCTCACATTCTATCAATGAATGGTGTTTCAAACTCAACTTCTACAAAGCAATGAAAGTATATTGCCAATTAAAGTGGAACATGGTAATGCACACCACAAACCCAGCTTTCAAGAGGCAGGAAAAAAAGAAAAAAACAAAAAAAGGATCTTGAGTTTGAGGCCAGCCTGGGCAAAGTTAAGGAGACCATATCTCAAAAGAAAATGCAAACCTAATGGCTAAAGACATGACTCAAATGGTAGAGCTCTTGCTTAGTATGCACAAGGCTCTGAGTTCAAACACCACTATCACACACACAAACACACACACAAATTGTGGGTCGGTTAACACTTACTTGGTGGTTCTGTAAGTATATTTATAGGTGACTTCTCGAGAAATCTGCCTAGCCAAGGCAAAAAGTTCATCTCTTCTTGTCAGCAGGGCATTATCCTTCACACACAGCTGAGCAGCTGCTTCATTTACAGTGAGCTGGATAGCCAAAATACCCAAATAAAGACGTAAAAGTTATAAGCATTTTTATTTCATTAATATATAAAATGTTTCACTTAATATAAAAACTTCACATCTTTTTATAATGAAAGAAAAGCTGAAACTGCAAAGTACTACAAACCAATATAAAGCTGAATTTGAAAATTACCTGTAGGCATAGCTCAAATGGCAGAGCACCTGCCTAGCAAGCATGAGGTCCAGAGCTCAAACCCCAGTATCTCCACCAAAAAAGAAAGGAAGAAAGAAGGGAGGGAAAGAGGGAAGGAGAGAATCATCTGAAGCCCCAGGAGAATCAAGAGAATTACCTGTCTTGAACCTTGGTGCTAAGTGAGACAGAACAGAATATAAACTTTTGAGATTTCATAACTGTAAACCCATCCCAATTCATAATTAAGTGGGTTGAGAATTTATTTTCACATGGTCCCAGAGTTTTAGTGTCTCCACAGCTGCCTTGTAGAAGCAAAATCAAATAACTTCTACAGGAATCCACTTTCTTCCTGAACTTCTAAACACTCCTATAGTTAAAGTTCCAAGAAATAAGAGTTCAAAGACAGAAATCATAAACTAGTCAAAGAAAGAAGGCATCAAAAGAGAAAACACAAAAAACAAAGAGCAGAAACACTTAGAAGACTTCATCTAAAGCAATATAGGACATTAAAAATATGACTAAAAAGCAACATAGTAAAAATGACCAAGAAAAACTCAGAATCAGAAAGAGAGGAAAGGAGAAAGAAATTGGGGAAGAAACAAGTCTTAGAAAGCAGACAATAAAGACCAGAATAGCCACTAGCTTCGAAACAGAACAAAGAAAGCCAAAAGCCAAATAAATATCTTCAATTAGTAAGAGAAAAATCACGGGCAATATAGAATTTGTCCCCAGTAAATAGTAATTAAGAATGAGGGCAAAATAATGATATTTTCTGGTAGGATAGAGAAGGGCAGAATTTTCCACCAATAGGCCTTCATTAAGAAAATTCTAGCTGGGCACTGGTGGCTCAAGCCCCAAATCCTAGCTACTAAGGAGTCAGAGAGCAAGAGGATCATAGTTCGAAGCCAGCATGGGCAAATAGTTGTCGAATTCTAAATGATTAACTTTAGACAGAAGAAAACTAATCCCAAATGATAAATATGACATATAGAGTGTGTGTTTGTATTGGGAGGGGGGAATGGAAATTAATACAAAATATTACTGATTATAATAAACATAAGTAGACCAAATGCTCCAGGTAAAAGATGAAGAATGTCATGGGAGTCTTTAAAATTCAACCATTGTTATTTAGAAGAGATATACAGAAAACATGGATTTAGAAATGCTGAATGTAAAAGGATGATAAAAAGATGTAACAGGAAATTATTAACAGGGACTTTGTGTATTTATATTAATAGAAATAAAACAATGAATTTTAAAGCAAAATGTATAACTAAAGATTAACAAGATTCTTGCATAATACAAAGAGAAATAGACAACTCTACAATCACAGTAAGAGATTTTAACACACAACTCATTTACTAATACAGCAAGCAGACAAATAAACAATAGTGATAATATAGAAGATTTCAAAACAGTTAATTGGCTTGTTAGAACAGACATATAGAACATTCTACCAGCAACTGCCATAGACACTGTTTCCATATACATAAAAAAACCAAAACATTGGACCATAACTAAAATCTCAACAAATTTTAAAGTGTTGCCATCATGAAAGACATGTTCTCTTGACCACAATGAAATTTGGTTAGAAGTCATTAGAAAAAATAACAAGTGATGAAAATCATGTGTATTTGGTAATGAAGAAACACTTCTAAACAATCCATGGGTCAGAAAAGAATAAATTAAATAATTAGAATTGAAAATTAAAAATAACCTCCTATCAAAACCTTGAAAATAACATTAAATCAATACATAGTGAAAATTTATAGCTATAATTGCTTGAATCAGAAACATAAGAATGGTTGAACATTAATGAACTAAATTAAAGTAGAAAAGAATGCTAAAAATAAACTATAGGAAAGCAGAATACACACACATAGCACAACCAATAATATCACTAAACTAAAAGGTGCTTCCTCAAAATACCACGGATTGGTAAGCTCTTTCTGTAAAAGGCCAGAGAGTAAATATTTTAGAATTCACAGGCCAGTCTGTGTTGCAACTACTCAAACTCTGCCATTGTAGCTTAAAGACAAAAACAGACAGTACATAATAGGCGTGCCCTGTGCTGTAATAAAAATTTTACAAAAACAGGAGGTAGGCTAGATTATGTTCATGGATCCTAGTTTGAAGATCTCTGAAAAGAAAAATAAAATGACAAACCCCTGGCAAGGTTGATGGGGAGCGGGGGGAAGGAGATAAATGTTCAGACAATATTAGGTCTTAAAAACTAAACAATTTCAAGCCAATACGTTTGGAAACATGGATGAAATGGACATAGTTTTAGAAAAAATGTGAACTTAAAGTCGATTATCTTAATAGTATTATATTTTTTTAAATCATCCAAAGGCAATTCCCACTATTTCTTTTCAAGCGTTAGATGCTGAAAACTATCCACACTAAGCTAGTTCTGAGAGTCCAAAATAAGTAATTATCATTACTAACGACGCATTCTGGTTTACGGGACACCCAGATTCAACATGCCTCTTCTCTCAAAGCTGAAACTGCTGGATTCCTCTGAACATCTGTCTTAACTTCTCAATACTACCATGACTGGCCTAAGCTTGGCATCACTGTTTAGTCTATGGACCTGGGTCCTGATCTTGGTAACCTGTTTGCAGCCAAATTCCTATAGAATTTCAACAGTCTATAATTTACCCATTGACTAGGGTCACCTCTTCCCATTCCCACCTTTGAGTTCTAGAGCTCTTTGGTTGGAAGTTGCAATCTGCTGACAAATATTCTGAAATGCCAAGTAGTCTACCTGTTTATATTTCTACATTATAAGTTCCTACATTCTCCACTGCCTTGCTATTCCCAACTTTTAGTTTAGCTTTTGTCATACATTGGCTTAACATCTGAGGCATACCTTTGGATAGATGAAATATTCTGCCTGCTGGAAATTCTTTCTAGTACTACATCTGGATTTGACCCTTAGAACCTGCCCCTTACCAATGACTGTGGGGTTCTAAGCTTTAGCACGCTCCTGACACTCTCTTCATGGTCTGACTATATCTAGCCAGGTCCTAACACTGATTCTTTAGCTTTAAAACCAAAAGTGTTTAACAATGATTCATTACAGAATTCTTAACTATACAGTATATACTATATTGGAAATAAATATAAAACTTTTTATAAGAAAAAGTTGTATGTAACTGTGAGTTGAAAAAAACTTCTGGTGTAGAAAAATTCCTATTTTTCATCTACTAGTGACCTACATACTGTTCTTTGTTTTGGAAAATTAAAAAAAAAAAAACAGTATCCACAGGGTTTCTGTAAAGAAAATTCTTAGAACAGCAACATCAAGCCAAATGTTTTAAGACTAGCAACATCAAGCCAAATGTTTTAAGACTAAGACATATATTTCCTTATATACTGAGGGTAAAATAGTAACATTCTTTAATCTTAGGAATTTGGAAAAACTAAAAAGTCTTTCCGTGATTTAAATAGTTAAGTGAAAATATGCGAACATTTTCATAATACCTAAAAGGTACACAGTCTTTGGTCAATTACTAGTATGAAGAAAGCTTCTTGACTCATTAACTTCCATCCTAAACAACATAATTAGACTAGATTCACAAATTTGAGTTACAAGTAACAAGTGGTCTAAGTTAAATTTCAGAAACACAAGCCACATTTTCAAAAGCCCCACTCCACATCTTAGCCTACTGGTCATCATTTTGAGTGTTCCCTTATGAGAAACCTAGGATGGTCTCACTACTTAAATAGCATCTGTACCTATTTATCTAAAGAAGCAAAGAGCGCCTTGCAAAAGCAGGTGTAAAAATAATTCTCTTTGAATTTTTAAAAAATAGGGTAGGAGTTTTTTTCATAGTGATGTTGATTAGATTTATTAAGTCTTTTACTTTAATAAAAATGCAGATTTTTTGACTCAACTTTGTGTTTCATCTGCTATGTTAGAAGAATTAAATGAAAACTAGGTTAAAGAATGAAACTACGATCACCAACATGCTTTGCCTTTTGTTTTCTATTAATACACAGTCATATTTTATCCTTTTAAGTGGATTCCTCTAAGGGTTCACAAGTAATAAAAGAAGCATAAACATATTATCTGAATTATAATGCTAAATGTACCTTCCACATGTACTCATAGGCTTCTGTGAGGCAATTATTACATGGCAATAATGATACATAACTATTACAAGTGATACATCTAAAATAGATCAAGTCTTACTATTATTTAAGTTATTCTTGCTAAATAATTGTCTGATCTGAAGCTCTAGTATTCATATCTAAAATAATTTATTTAAGAAAGACCAGATAGTAAAATTGCTGAAATTAAGATTAATATATAAAAATCAGCCAGTGAGAACCATTAAAAAAACAGAGAAAAAACCTCATTAACAATTATACCTACTTCATATCCTTATTAAATCCAAGAAAATTTAAAATAAATTTAATATAGACATTTAACATACACAATATTTGGCCTACCAAAACATGTACAAAATATATGTGAATAAAATAATGACAGTATCACTCTGGAATATGAGTGATACAAGGAAATACATAAAACTACATTCCCATATAGACAGCCTCATTACTGCTATGTCAATTTTTACCAAATTGGCCTAATCAATAAAGTATTTCTTACCAAAATAACACAAATTATTGAGAAATTTGACAAATTTACCTAAAATTTTATTTGGAAAAGAAATGCGTAAAATGACAAAAAAAAAAAAGTTGCTAAACAAGAATAACGAAGGACTTGTCTTTCCAGGTAGCATATTCTCATTATTCTAATGAGACCACACAGAACAAGATCAATAGATATAATTAAACAGAATTAAACTTCCAAATGGTAAAACACTAAAAGGCAAAGGACAAATGATGATCTGGGAAAATATTACAAGAGTCAAAGGCTCAGTATCTGTAAAATATAAAAAGTTCTCACCAATAATTTTTTAAAAAGATAACTACAAGAAGCAAAACAAAGTTGTTGGATTTTTTTTCATTTTGGTTTTTTAATGGTACTAGGTGTTGAACTCAAGGCCTCTAACTTGGCAAGGCAGATCCTCTACTATTTGAGACACACCCCCAGCCCCCCTTTCTTTTTCTTGCTTTGGTTATTTTTGAGATGGGGTCTTACTTTATGCTTGGGCTGGCCTGGACCATTTTCTTCCTATTTACACTTCCTATGTAGCTGGGATGACAGGAGTTCAACATCATGTCCAGCTTTTACTGCTAAGATTAGGTCTCATGAATATTTTGCCTGGGCTGGCCTCAAACTGGGATTGTCATAATTGGCACCTACTGAGTAACTGGGTAACAGGCTTGAGCCCAAAACAAAGTTTTATGAACATAAAACTGTATGTCTGCTAAGCATATGAAAAGGCACTCATCCTCACTAAGAAAAGTAAATTTGAAAAATGGAATTCTTTCATCTATTAAGACTTGCAAAAATTAAGATATAAAATATACTACTAGCAAGTGTGCGGAGAAACGGACATTTACATACTAATAGTGGAAGCACAAGTTTCCCCAGCTTTTATAGACGGTAATTTAACAGTATATTAAAATGTTAAATCTACATATTCCTTGATCTCATAATTTTATGTTGAAATCCATGCTATAGAAAAAGCATGCACAATTCTGTAAAGGTATAAGTGCGTCATAATGTCCACATACCCCTGAATGTAAAATTTTAAAGCTGGCAACATAAGTGATATCACAAAGTGAACGGTTAAGATAAAAAATGGCCTATGCATACCCATTAATGAATTAGGTAGTGCTATTAGGCAGTGTTTGGCTTGAAAATGTATCTGATAGTATATTTTACTCGTTTTTTAAAAAAGGAATTCAGAAATCAATGTATAAAACATGATCTATATTTGTACATATAAAGATAAGTATTTGAAAGTTTACAGACTCAATAGTTTATATTCTTTTGTAATAACTGAATATTGTCACAGTGAGTACATATTCTTTTGCCTATCAAAGTACATGAAACCTGGGGAGAAAGATCTGATATTGAAATACTGCATTCAACCTGAACATCTTTTCTGAGTATTCCTCTCTTCTAAAAGACACATGGATTTTTAAAAAGCTAGCTCTAAAATAGTCTTTTGCACTTCAGAAAATGTATTTATTTCTAAGCATTTATTGCATACATTAGAATTTGGGGATAAAAGATGAGTAAGACATTATCTCTGCCTTGAGGAAAGTCAAAGTACACTGCAAGGGACAGACCAGGAAACAAGTAAGTATGATAAAGTGATCCAAACTTACTATGAAAGAAGTGTATGACGGGATAAAAATGAAAAAGGATAGATCACATTCTACTTAGAAGAAAAGATAACAGAAAAGACTCAAGATTATGCTTGAGCTGAATTTTAAAGATGATGTGTTGGCCAGATAAACAAAAAGAAAAGGGAGTAACTGCAAAAGTTTATACACACATACACGGGAGGTATATACATAACATAAAACATATATATATATAATTTTCTATATATGAAAACATATACATACTTAAGCAGAGTATATTTAGGTAAGAGTGCTGTAAAGATAAAGTAGGGAGAATTTTTAATGCCAAATATCAAACCAAAATAATATTCAAGGTTGTAATAATTCTTCCACCATTTAATAATTTTGTTTTCCATGAAAATAGAAATTGGTCTTAAGTTCTAGTTATTTTACAAAAATTTTTTCTTCAAACAGTCTTCAAGAATGTTTTTTTAAAATATTTCTTAACAAATGGCCTTATAAAGGGCAAGAGTTTATGCTTTCACTGCTTAACTTCTGACATTCTTCTAAATCACTTTATACTATAGTTTCAAAGTTCAAACATTTCTGAGTTCAACACAAAATATCCCTAGCACAATAAAGACTCTTTTCATAAGTGTTATTGCTAACACTTAAATGTTTTTAATACTGCTTTCAGGAAGTGCATCTCCTTTCCTGCAAGCCATTATCAAACTTTCCTTTGAATAGCAGCATATCATATATACACAGAAAGAAAAACATTCTTACCTCATGAAGTGTGAGATGTTTCCCATCCTTTCTCTTTGAGTCAAATCTGCCATATATTGCACTGTATTTTCGAATTTCTTCCTCTTTGTGTGGATCATCATCACTCATCTCAAAGATATGACCAATCATTTTGGCCAACTTCTTGTTGGTTTTTAGCAGCTCTTTGACTTCGCTCAAGTCACTTTTTGGCAGTGAGGGGGCCATTCTCTCCACACACTCAGCAACAGAGAGTGCAGCAGCAGCATCCAGTGCCTCACTGCTTTCTTTTGGGGAAGCTGGGGAGCCAAGGTCTGCTGGGGAAAGACTGTGCTCACTCTCAGTAGCATGGTGTCCTTGCCAGAGTCTGGACTCACTGACACTTTGCATTGCTAAGCTCCCTACCATATCTGATTTCCCCTGTCCCAAGCTCTGCACACAAGTGGTGGCAGCACATTTGGGGATTTTTAAGTGAGGTTCCCGGGCATTACTACTCCTTTCATAGCTACTGCAGGATATTCCCAGCCATGTTGGTGATCCCTCTGGTAATTTATAGATAGGTATGCTGCTGACAGGAAGGAAGTCAGTGGCTGATTGAAAAGACCAGGGTTTGTAACCCAGTCTCTCAAAGCCTTCTGCAGCCTTCTAACATGAAGTGGCTTACTAGCCATGCCCACGAGTGCCATGATTTCCAAAAATTCCTCTTCTCCAGCTTCACAAAGTTGCTGAACATCATCACCACCTTGTTGGATAAAAGCATCAAAATAAGAAAGTAGATTGGCTTTTTGCAATATCCTATATAGCTGTAACTCCCCCAGGGTCCTGGGTAAGGCCGCAGCCATTACTGTGGATGAGTTTAACCTACAAAAAGAAAAAGAGGAAAAAAACTCATCAGGCTTACTTCAAACTTCTTAAACTTAATAGGTTAGACACTTTAGGATCCAGGAATATAGGAAGAACAATAACAAGGGTCATGCTGGGTGCCTGTTGCTCATGCCTGTAATCCTAGCCACTTTTGAAGGACTATGGTTTGAGGCCATTTGCTACTGGGTAAATCGTTCAAAATATCGTCCCATCTCCAAAATAACCAAAGCAAAAATGGACTGGAGACATGGCTCAAGTGGTAGAGTGCTTACTTTGCAAGTGCAAAGCCTTGATTTCAAACCCCAGTTCCACAACATACACACACACACACACACACACACACACAAAACGTCATTTGCACAGCAACTGTTAAGGAAGCATCCTCCTTTGCACCTACATTATCTCATTTTATACTTCTAACCACCCTAAAAGTCTGTAACTAAAGTGACCTATTTTCCTAAAGGAGAATAACTAGTAAGCAGGAGACCGGGGACTCAAACTAAGGCCCAAGGGCTTTTCATCCCATGGTTTCAATTATACACTTTTCTGCTTCCATGGTGTAGACACAGTAATGGAGTGGAGATAATCAAAAGTAGCAGAAGGTAGAAGTCAGTATGCTAGCATTCATGATACACTTATTTTATGTCAGGCAATATGATAAGCACTTTATGTTACATTATGTCTACTCCCCACAATAGCCCCAGTGAGAAAGGTATAGTTATTGCCATTTTATAAAGAAAAATTTGCAAGATTAATCTAACAGGTGAAAATAGATTTCAGGGTGAATTGGAAGAAAGAAAAATAGAAGTTGGTATATTTAGGAACCAAATAAAAAACAGGCAAAAAAATTCAAACAAGTGACAATACTTAATACTTTCTATGGTTTCAGGAAGAGAAGAGTTATATGTAACTATGGGATTGCATCTCTAAGAGACTAAAATTATGATGGGCACTGGGGATACACAAGTCAGGATAATGGGATTCTCTTTTAAAGGGATGGCTCCTAAAATAGCATAGGTTAAAATGTTTACACAGAACTGCCCTACATGCAAAAGAACAGACTGGAATCTAAGTATGTATCAGGGACTGAGGTGCAGGATGAAATCCAGAGGGTGGGCAAGCCCTTCAGAGTAGCAGCAGATAACACAAGGTAGATCCATGGAAGAAACATATTTTTAGAGTCTAAGAAAGACAGAGAAGCCTGTTTTAGAAACAACTGAACAAGATCCACAAAGTACTTCTTGACCTCTCAATGGTCTTTGAAAGTTGTTCACAGTTGCCTGGAGACCTCCCACATACAAAGAAAAGTTGGCCAAATTCTTCCATTTAAGAGAAACAAACTTCTTGTAATCAATGCACTCTTAGGATTAAAAGGAACTTGTAGCTCTCTATTGAGAAAATTATAAAAGGCTGAAAAAATACATATATCAGAGGAAAATGGAGGCCGATTCTCAACTCAGATGGTATGGAGCAATACTTAACTGGGAGATGATGCAAGCAGAGGAATATTAGGAATACCTCTGAAAGTCAGAAAGTCACCAAACATGGGACTTGTTTTCAAACATCACGAGCTAGAATGTTACACAAAATTCTAGTCTTAGTCACTCCAACCAAGGAAAACGTGTCTCACTATCACTGTAAAGACTAATTACCGGGAAGCCCATCTCCTGGAACTTCTGTTATCATCTATAATCTGTCTTGATCAACTAGTGACATTCTCAAACTTCATGGCTCTTTATTTGCATGGGGCTAGTGTGGACATGGTCTGAACTTTCTGACAGAAACAAAATAGATTTAATTAGTGTCCAGTAGTTTCTACTAACACTCAGGATATCACCTAGAGTGCTTCTGAAAAAGTTTCCCAAGTACCTGAGCTATATCTCAGGAGATTCCTGGGATTTGATTAATGGGGAAAACTGTCCAAGAAGATCCCAATCCCTATTTAGTATATCCTCCAAGTAATGCAAATTCTACCAGTTCTGTAATCATCTAGATTCTTCAGGTCCACCTTCAAGTTCATACCACCTCAATCTTCTAGATGAAAATATTCTTCTACCTTCCAAATCACCTAAAAAGGACCTCCTTGTCCTCCCAATCCAGGCATAGTCTATTATCTAGTTGAACACTAGCCCCCAAAACACAGTCCTTGGGAGTTATAGACCCAAGTTTAAGTTCCTATTAAACTACAGTATACCAAATAGAAGGCCTTCTAGGGAAGTCTGAGGTAGAAGAAAGGAAACTTACTTTCTCATCATACACCTAATACAGTTGTCCACATGCTTTCAACTAGAGTATAGGAAAATACACACACATAAAAATATACAGGTATGTACACATCTTTTTCATAAGAATACTGTAACTTTGCAAAGTTTATGGAGTCATCAATCAATTCACTATACTTGCTCTCTAGATTATGGAATAAAGAAAATAATACAGCACAAAATCTAGAATAGACTTTTTTACTTATTTTATGAGTAATAAGGAAAAAAGAACACGTTAGACAAATATAAGAGAAACTTAAGAAAAGGAAAACTAAAAGATCCTAACTTAGATTTTTGTCTTCTGAGATAAAACAATGATTCTACAAAATACAATTTTCAAGTTTTACCTTTTTCCTCTTTACCCAGAAAAGAAGGAAACCCACCTAGTTCCTAAGAGAAAGCCCTCGTGCACTGGTAAGTAGTTACGAATATAGTATCTCCATAAGGAATGGCAGGACTAAGTGTACATTTGCAAAGTCAACATAACATATGAAAGACGAAAAAGTAAACTATTCACAGTCCCAGGAGGCTTTGTAAGGGCCCACACTCACTGCTGGGAAAGGAGTTTTCTCCCTGATTTTGTGTTACAATGATGTTTCAGTTTCCTTCCAAAACCTACTGTGAAAATTTAAACACCCACTACATCATGCATTGATTCAATATAACAGAAAACTTTTATGAGACTTTGTTTCCACAAAATCTGTAACCATTCATGCTTCAACATGAAAGTCAAATAAGTCAAAAGCAAGTTTCTACTTGCATCTTTCAGATCTGAAGTAAATACAAAATGGGATCTAACATAATACTATATACAGGTAACTTACAGAATCCTAAAACTACTCAGCTGAAAATTAGTGGTACCTGGCTTTTCCAAGATACCCTGCAGCACCATGCGTGGTCTGACCTTTTAATGAATTCCAGTTTAGAGAAACTAGTTACTCATTCTTGTGTTTAAAAGATAACATGAGGCCTTGCTGCTCCTGTACAGTGAACCTCTATTTATATCAGCTTAAATGTTCCTCACCCTAGGCAGTCAAATAAAAAGAATCACAGTATTAAGAAGCAGAATTTTAAAAAAACAGACTCGTTTAAGGTCACTTGTTGAAAACTTTAAAAAACATACCTTACTTTGGCTCCTAAGAGGGTAGCATCAATTGTTTCCCAAATTCAAAGTATTAAAAGTAAAATAAGGAACTGTCTGCTCCAGAAAATTTTACCAGCCAAGTCCTGCTTTGCTGTGGGAAACAAAATTTTCCTGACACTCTCCAAGCTGGGATGTGAAGATTTAGGGTAATATAGAGGCCTTTTACAAGTCTCTAGGGAAAAGAAGAATCATTCCTTCAAACCTACCTCAATACAGCCCCATCACTGTATCAAAAATCTCAAATAACTGAGTTATGCCTGGGAATATCTCTCAGTCTCTCTGTAGTATGTCATCACTCCTTAAAATACTCTTCATTTGACTTCGCTAATGACATATTATTTTGTTTTCTCTTCCTTTCCTTACTATATTCTAAGTACAAGAATTCCCTCAGTTTTTGTTGTTTTGGGGGGGGGGTGTTCGTTCAGGGGAGGGAAGATCTCATTATGTTGCCCAGACTGGTCTCAAGCGATCCTCCCGTCTCGTCTCCCCAGTGCTGGGATTACAGGTGTGAGCCATCAGACCCAGCTTCCAGGGTTTTATACTACATTTCTTTTCTTCTCTCTGTCGATATTATCCCGTGATGATCTCTCTTCCAAACACAAGCATCAATTATCATTACAGGAGTGACCTCCAAATCTGTATCTGTAGCTTTGACCAGTTATTCATGGGCCAGGGTCTATAGAGGTACTGCAAAGTGTTCCCAACTACAAATGTGTACCAAGCTCTACTCACTAAGTGAAAAATATGCCTCTCACATGTCTACTTTACAAAGGAAAGTAAATAAACACTTTCATGATTTAATAAAGTACAAACTAATTTAGAAGTGTAATTAAAAGCCAGGTGCGGTATCACATACTTGTGATCCCCCAGCTACTCAGAAGGATCACAGCTCAGGCAAAAAGTCAGTGAAACTTCCATCTCAACCAACAAGCTGGATGTGGTAGTAGAAATCTATAATCAGAGCTACTAGGAGGCACAGGCACCTATAATAACAGCTACTAAGAGGAAGAAGTAGGAGGATGACAGTCCAAGGAAGGCCTTGGCAAAAATGTGAGACCTTATCCAAAAGGTAACCTGAAGCAAAAAGGGCTGGGGATGGGAGACATGGCTCAAGTAGTAGAGTGTCTGCCTAGCAAGCATAAAGCCCTAAGTTCAAACCCTGATACTACCAAAAAATCCAAAAAGTGTAACTGAAATTGTTGTTTTGAGAGTATTATATGTATTCTTAATGAATAATGCTAAAAGTAAAATTATGAGCGTTTGCAGTTTATTTAAAAAGTGATCATGCCTGCAAAGTTTGAGAACCATCAACTCATATCATTCTTAGGAACTGTAATTTGGATTCCACCTGAAGACTGTCAAAACCTGAAGTGTGATACATTCACAAGCAAGTACACTTTCTTATCTTCCAGAGTCCCAAATCTACTCTTTGCCACTCTCTCAGTGTTTTAGTTTCACCACTACGTTTCCTAATTCCCGGGATTAATGAAAGTGTGGATTCCATCTGTTTTCTCCTTTTCAATCCTTAGATCTACATGTTCTTGGGCCACACTTTCACTATTTTTCTTTCTACCTCAAAAGCAGCTGGTTTT